ACTTGCCCAGGGTCACACAGATTGGAAGTATCTGAGGCTGGATTTGAACTTGGGTCTTCCTGACTGGGTCTGGTGCTCTATCCTCTGCACCACCTAGCTGCCTAAGTGATGGAAAGCCAGTGCAAAAGACACAAAGAACAGAGAAAGGCCACCTATATGCAGAGAACGGTATTTGTGAATAGACACACTCAGTACTCCTAAATTTTGCATAAGTGACTAACCAGAGAGCATCCTACCTTAATGCCATACTAGCTGTGTGAGCCTGAGCAAGCCCTTCCTGTCTCAGCATAATTCCTTCTCTCATAATCATTGTGAATAGGAATCATTTAATTCTCTGTACTTGTATCTCCAGCACCTAGGACAGTGCCTGACACATGGTAGATAGGTGCTTAATAAATACTTTTTGATATACCCGCGTTTATTCATCACCTACTTTGCACCAGGCACTGTGGATTTTCTTTTTGGATGGGACCTATGATTTCATCGGTGTACTAATCTTCCAGTGGTATAGGAAATACATATATTTTCTACACCAATGAAGATACACCTTTTCTGTAGAGAATAAGAGAAATGCCTAAGGCCTGGGGAGGCTGAATGACTTATCCATGGTCTTGCAACCAGGAGGCATCAGAAACAGAACATGATCTAAGATTCTTGACTCTCAAGCCTGCTTTCTTTCCACTCTTCTAAGCTGCCTTTTGTGCCAGACATTGAGGGTACAAATACAAAACAGACAAAGTCCCTGCCCTAAAAGGGCTTGGTTTGAGAAGACAAAACTATCATTTAACAAATAGTACAAGGAAGCTAGAGTGTGTGATGGGATGGGTGCTGGACTTGGTGTCAGGAAAACCTGACCTCAGATCCTTAATAGCTGTGTGACCCTGGGCAAGGGATTTAACCTCTCTGTGTCCCACACTATTCTCTAAGATGAGAAGTCGTTACGTGTATAATTGATATCGTATCATAGCTTGCCTTCTCAATGATGGGGGAGGGGTGGGAGGAAGGGAGAATATTTGGAACTCAAAATTTTAAAAAATTAATGTGGAAATAAATTAAAATGTTTGAAATAAGATGAGAAGTCAGTCTGATTCACTGGAGGCAGTCATCACATTAGGAGCTCTCTTGGCCTCAGTTTCCTCATCTGTAAAATGGAAATAAAAGTAGCATCTACCTCTCAAGTTTGTCGTGAGGATCAAATGAGTAAATATACGTCCAGTGCTATGCCAACCTTAAAGCACTATGTAAATATTAGTTGTTATCATTCTTCAAACTTCACCTTTGATACTAGCTATGTGGCCATAGCCAAATTTTTTAACCTCTCTGAGCCTCAGGCAACTCTTCAAGAGTTTAATATATAGTCTTTAAGTCTACAAGTTGTTTACACACCAACAGAATCACAGGAACTTTATGGATTCTCAAGAGATAGTGTATGATGAAATTTTAAGGTACTTCTTGTGGTTTGTCAGATGTTGTGTTTAATGAGGACTGGCATTTGGCTGAATAGCTAGATGGAAGCAGCTAGATGGGCTCAGTGGATAGAGTGCTGGGCCTGGAGTCAGAAAGACCTGAATTCAAATCCAGCCTCAGACACTAGCTGTGTGACCCTGAGCAAGTCTGTTTGTCTTAATCCACTGAAAAAGGAAATGGCAAACCACTGCAGTATCTTTGCCAAGAAAACCCCATGAATAATATTGGCATAGTATAGTTCTTAAGGTCACAAAACGTTGGACATCACTGAACAACAAATTTGGCTGAACAGCCTAAGACAAAGAATGAAAAGAGTGTGATTGGAAGGTCCGGAGAAGGATCTTGTCCTTCCATAGCAGCTCCATCCATTCTGTTAGTACCCACTTGAGCTCCCAGGCACTTTGTTGTTTCTCTTTTATTGCCTCCAAAGCTGGGAAGACTGCATGTATTTAGACCAAGTTCCTTTCATTCTGATGGATTTGCTGGGATTACCCACAGTGCCTTTATTCATAGTTTGGGTGTTAGATACATGAGTGACAAGTGGGTGAATTCTGGAACTGCAGCAGGATCTTCTGTGAAGTGGGGCTATTTATAGAGAATAGGGACATTTTATCCAGTGTTATTGACCCCATTTTTTTTTCAGTACTGATTCTAAAACCATGACCACAGACCTGGACTTGTCAGCCCATAGGCTTAAGAAATGGAAAGGTCTCTCCATTCACTACCTGTTTTCTGAGGAGGGTCATAGCTACCACTGGTGGGGGGAGGGGGAGTGGCTCATAATTGTGAGTTGCTGAATAGCCCATAATCTTTTAAATAGGTTGTAGAATTAAACTAATAAATCTGAGGGTTAAAAAATAAACTTTATTTCTATTATGAAATCTCTTAATTATTACTTCTAGGACAGAGACATTTCTCAAGGTTAGCCAGATTTGTTTTTCCAGAGCCTTCTAGTTTGTTGTTTTCGTTCTGATGAGCTGGACATCTTTGGGAGAACGAACCAAGTTGTCTCTGATAGCACCTATGTGAGACCACAAACTAACTACCACCTGCTCCTCTTTTCCAAAAGTGGATTCATTTAAAGAAACAATTTAATGAAAGTTGATAATTCCTTTTGTCGTCATTTTTCTAATAAGCATATTTGTTCCATTTTATATCGCCTGATTCTCACGTCAGCATCTCTTGAAAGGTTTAGTTTGGGATATAGATGTTGTCACCCTAGTCCAAATGCGTGCCCAGATGGAAATCAGTCAGGTAACAAGCATTTTATAAGCACCTGCTTTGTGCCAAGTGCTGGGGATACAAAGATAAAAATGACAGGGCAGCTAGGTGGCACAGTGGATAGAGCACCGGCCCTGAAGTCAGGAGGACCTGAGTTCAAATCCGGCCTCAGACCAAACACTTGACACTTACTAGCTGCGTGACCCTGGGCAAGTCACTTAACCCCAATTGCCTTTAAAAAAAAGAATTAAAAAGATAAAAATAACAGAGTTCCTGCCCTCAGGGAGCTTCAGGAGACAACATGTGATTGACAGTTGGATAGATGGATGGATAGATGGATACATGTTTCGACAGATGGATCAAAGCCCTTTGCAAGTTGTAAAGTACTCTTCAAATGATTGATAAACAATGGGATTATTAATGTCTCTTTGGGCCAGGCCACTCATCATGTCCTAAATCTATTTAACTCTACTCTGGTCTAGTCTGTCTCTATTTCCCACAATAATTATGTGAAAGAGACTTTGTTCTGACCAAAACTAATTAAACTTAATCCTACAGCATTCCTCCTATGTACCAGTCTGATTGGTTGTTGTTAAGTCATTTCAGTCATGTACATCTCTTTGTGACCCCATTTGGGGGTTTTCTTGGCAGAGATAATGGAGTGGTTTGCCTGTTACTTGTCTAGTTCATTTTACAGATGAGGGAACTGGGGCCAACAGGGTTAAGTGACTTGCCCAGGGTCCCACAGCTAGTAAGTGTCTGAGGTGGGATTTGAACTCATGAAGATGAGTCTTTCTGATTCTGAGCCCAGTGCTCTAGCCACTGTGCTGCCTAGTTGTCTATTAACTAATTTAGTAACCCTATCCAAAAAGGGAGATTACATTAGTGTGGTATGTCTTGTTTTTGACAAAACTCGATAAAAGTCATTTGTGGCCACTTATTTCTAAATGTTCACTAACCAGCCCTTTCATATCATGTATTCTAGAGTTTTACTAGAAGGTAACTAGAAGTTGAAGGTCAAGTTCACTGGCCTATAGTTTGCAATCTCCACTCTCTTCCTTTGGAAAATCAGGACATTTGCCTTCCTCCACCACCTCTCCCATTCTCTCTAGTCCTTTCAAAGATCATTGATGGTGGCTCAGCAATCACATCTGCCAGTTCTTCCAATACCCTGGGTGTAGTAAAGGGGAAAGGGAAGGGAGCAAGCATTTATTCGGTGCTTCCTTTGTGCCAGGCACTGTGCTAAGCATTTCACTGTAGGTAATGTGAGCTGATTCCTTTGACTTCATCAAGGACTTCTGGATCTCCTATTTCTATCTATACTTAGCTAAGATTTCAAGTCCGTATTAGGTATCTTTTGCTCTGTTGTTTTTAGTTAAAAGTCTTATACTTTATTAAGATAAACCATAAAAGGGATGGGTTGAGGAAAGTATATCTCTAACCTTTAAGGCTGACATCTTAGAATTATAGCCATACCATTCCATAACCCATCCCTTAGTCGTGCTGCCAAAATGAGAACAGAGGGTGAGATGAAAGCAGGTCTGACCAAGTAAATCCAGTCTCCAGATCATGGGACCTAGATCTGGAGCTGGGAGGCACGTCAGAAACCATTCATCTGATCCCTTCATTTTCCAGGGACGTAAAGTAACTTGTCACGCATGGATCAAGTGTCAGAGCCTGGATTCAAACCCAGCTCCTGTGTCCAGATCCACCATCCCTTCCATCACAATATGCTCTCTCCAGGCTTGCAACACCCATGTATTTTTACGGTTATTCCCTTTATCTTCTCTAATACCTCATCTCTTCTCTCACTCTTCTCTCTGATATTGCACCAAGTCTAGATCTCTCACATCTCTTCTTTTTTTTGGTCTTTCTACATTGACATTGTTTGACCTAGCTCTTTTTCATGCTTTCTGAAACTTTTCTAATCTGGACCTCCCTGGCCAGCTTCACAACTCAGCTTTCCAGTGTTTTCCCTTGCCAGTCCTTCACATTCATATTCCTGTTCTCCTCCACTTTCACTCTTCTCTCCATCTTCTTCTCCTCTCTGTCTCCTCTTTGTCATTCTCTTATCTTTGCTCTTATCTTCTGTCATTTCCTCCCCTCTCTCCTCATTTCCTTTTCTCACCTCTCCTCTTCTCTCAATTTACTTGTCCTCTTTGAGAACTAAGGTAAAACAACAACAGTGTACTGGTAGCGAGTTGCACAGAATTTCTTGGAGTCTGTTTTGAGGGGAGGGGAGAAAGGATTTTCCCTTCCTACTCTCATTTGCTCAGAAAAAATCTTTTGACCTAAATATGTATTGTTTCAGGTTTTAAAAATCAATTTGATTGGCCACAGAAAGCGTATTTTGGCATCCCTGGGAGACCGGCTACACGAGGATCCTCCCCAGAAACCCCCTCGATCCATCACCCTCAGGGTAAGTTGCCTGAACGTGGCTTTCCTTCTCACGGTTATGCTTAACCAATATGGGGGCTTGCCAACTGCCTGAAGCTGCCGGTCGGGAGACATGGGCTATTTTTTAGCCATGTAACTTACATCATCTGCATTTCAGGGGGCAGGGGAAGGGAGGAGATATCTACTCTATTTATCTTGATAATTTTATGTTGTTGTTTTTAATGCATTTGCTGCAGCCAAAGCAGCATGTGAATTTTTATGTCCAGATGTGTAGTTCAGCAGAATTCATTCCAACAAACTTTGACAGCTTCCTCTGTCACCATCTTTGCTAATGGATGGGAATTCATTTTCTTTTTTTTAATCAGAAGCCTCTTATCCACAGGAAAAACAAATTAATCAAGGGCCACAGCAAAGTAAAAAGTATCTTATAACTTTAGGTCTATGATTCTTACTTTAGAACGGAATAGAAAACCTTCCACTTGCCACCTTTTAAAAATGAAAAAAATGGAAATGACTTTTGAAGGAATGAAAATGATGCTCAGGTTTCATATTGTAACAAAATTAGGACAGAGAAAAGGTAACAGAGGGAAAGGGAATGTGGGAGGGAGTGGGGGGAGAGGGGAAGAGAGAGAGAGAGAGATGATAGAGAGAGAGGAGAGAAGAGGGAGATGGTAAAGAGAGGGAGAGGAGAGAGAGGGAAAGGAGAGAGGGAGAGGGGAGAGAGAGATGGGGAGAGAGAAAGAAAAGAGACTAAGGAGAGAGAGGCAGAGTAGGAGAGGAAAGGGGTGAGAAACTAGAAGGGGGTGATAAAGTAAGTAGGAACATGGAAAAAAATATAAATTACAGAGAGGGAAGAAAATTGAGAAGGACCTAGATAAAGGAAAAGAAGCAGAAGGAAGAAAAGCCCAAGTCTCCTGCCCACCCGACATTTACTTGCTGTAACTGCCACTCCTCACATCTCTTAGCCATCTCAGAGGGCCAACCACCCTTCCACACCACCACCTACCAACAACATCTCCTTCCAGTAGACTGAGAGTCTTTCCCAGCTCTCTAAGCCCCTGGCCTACTGGAGTCCCAGGGGCGACCTGAGGATTCCTCTCATACTCATCAGTTCAGACTCCACACTGTTCTAACAGCCAAACAATTCACTTCTTCATTTTGAAGTGCTGGCTCAGAATGGGTCTATAAATTGAAAATGCCACACTAGTACAGAAGATTAAATCCTGACTCGTCTACTACCTATATTACCTTGGACAAGTCATTTCACTGCCTTAGTTTTCTCATCTATAAAAGGAGGAAGTTAGACCAGAGGGCCTGTGACCTCCTTCCAGCTCAAGATCTGTGATCCTAGAAGCAAGACCTGACTCTTACTGAGGAGATTCTTCAAGGGTCTGCCCACCAGCAATTGGATCATTTTCTTATCTTGGGGCAAATAACAGTCCCAGACATTTCCCTTCATCGACCTAGGTTTAAGTTTTCAAAGATTCATCCAAAAACTGGAGATTTGCATGGCAAACTACCCTCTCCTTTATTCATGACTCAGTTTCCCCTGAGCTTTGTCTATTTGGCCTCTTGAATTGGTGGTATCAATAAATGACAAAAGGCAAAAGAACCTTTGCAAAATGGTGGACCACATGCAAGATATAAATGGATCACCCCATGAATGTGCTTTATGACATGACATGATTAGCTCAAGGATATTTCATAGAAGAAGTTGGGAATTGGGGTCTAGTGAGAAAAGAAAGAGAAGGAGAGAAGATGCAGCTAAAGAGAAGGAAAAGGAATTAGACTGTGACAGGTATGAGCAGACTGGAGGATGACAGGAAATAGAACAAGGCTCCTTTGTGGGTAGGGAAGAAGACTTTAGAGATGTTTTGGGAGTAGTGGAAATTTGAGAGCCATTTTCCTCCTTCAAAGGTAGCCCCCAAAAAAAGATCAGGGTAGAATTTAGGGGTGGAAAACTTCCTTCTTTTGCTTGAAGTACATGGAGAAGGAGAAAGAAGTTAGCAGCCATAACAGTGAGGCCAGGGAGGCTGAGTTTACTGAAGCTTACAAAAAAAAAGCATTGGCGCCATAGTCAGAGGGCCTGAGTTCCCCACCTGTGTGACTTTGAGCAAGTTACTTAATCTTCCTAGGCCTCCGTTTCCTTAAATGTAAAATAAGTGGATTGGACTAGAAGGCCTCTAAGATTCATAATAGATGGATAATTCTAAAATCTCTTATGGTGTGGGGTGGTCATTTTGTTCTGCTAACTCCTTTTCCTTCCTTCTCCAGTCTTCTCCTTCTAACCACCCACCCCTCCTTCCCCTTCTCAAGCAATTTGTAGGAATAGATTTTTCAAAAAATAATAATAATGACTAAAGTATGTGCAATGGCTTAACTCCCTCAAAGGCTCATTGTCCACTTGGAAACATCTGCTGGGAAAAGAAAATGGAGAGGCAAGGAACAAGGGAAGAGTCCAAGATCTCATAAGTTTCCTTTTCTCTATAAATCCTAGAACCTAGTTCTCAGGAGTACCTTGAGAGACAATGAAGTGTAGTGGACAAAAAGCTGGCCTTGAAGGCTCTCTTCTGCCCAATGCAGGCTGCATGATCCTGGGCAAATCACTTAAATACTCAATACTCTAGTCTAGACAATTCTCTAAAGACTCTAAATTGTAGAGAAGGTGCTGACCTGCATTGGTACAGAGAATTCCGTCACCCAGGAGTTCCCTAAACCCAAGAAATCACAGATCTAATCCCTCACCCTACCCTTACCTCGCTTTGGACCAATCTCCATCAGATTCAAGTTCATTCCCTGCTCCTCTCTGACGGAAAAAAAAAATTCCCCATTTGTCCCATTGTTCACCGTTCCATGGTCGTTGTAATGCTGTCAACACTGTGTGCCGTGCTGTTCCATGTCAGCTACCCACTACCTGAAGGTAGATCACCATCTATTGTGCTCCACTTGACAGTCATCATCCCATGTTCACGTGAACTTACCAGTTTGTGACGCCCCTGCTTCATCACGCATAGGCACAGGTTCCTTATTTTTTTCACCAAAATGATTGACTCAAGGAAATGGTGCCTCACAGATATATGCATAGCTGGGCTCACCAGTAGTGCTGGCATCACAAACTGGACACCCAATTCTTTACCCTCGAATAACTCCATTAAGATACTCAGAGGGGGAAAAAAGCACTGAATATATCATACCATTCATTAGTGGAATCGGAGAATGCCATCCAACTCCTTGGCATTTTCCACCCACCCACCCCCCAAAGCATCCCCTATGCTTTTTGTTTTGTCAGTCGTTCAAAGTTTTGAAACCAACGAGTACCCGCTAGAATATGGTATTTATTTCATGATGTATTTCCATTCAGGAACCCAGTGGTAATCACAGCCCTCCTCAGTTGTCTCCATCACTTAGCCAAAGTACTTACACCACTGGGGGCTCCCTAGACGTTCCACACATTATCATGCAGGGTGATGCAAGGAGAAGAAGAAATGAAAACTACTTTGATGATATTCCCCGATCGAAACTGGAGAGACAGATGGCCCAGGTAAGGTGGAAAAAAGCATATCTTTTAGCTCTTGTACCTACCATCAGAATCAAGTAATGCCTTCACTGTAACCCATGCCTTTGGCTTCCTAGCAACTCTTCCCTGGGGGTCTTGACTTGGGCTCTATTTATTCACCACATGCCCCATTTCCAGCCTCCCCCATCCAGAATAGAATCCAGCTGCTGGAACTCTCCTTATCAAATGTGCATCTTTGCTCTCTCTTCTTACTGAAGAAACTAAATTAAATCTCAACAAATATTTTCCTACTAAAAGAAGTAATTTGGTGAACAAACCAAAGGGTAATGAATTTAGACAATTAAAACCAGGATTGGATGGTGTACAGTGGTTCAATAACTAAAATTTAAAAGACTAGAATAGAATGGAAGATTGTGACTCAAGAGGAATGGTTCTGATTCCCTCCCAAGAGTATGTATTTTTCTAGAATTAGAATATAGTATGTAAAAAGCTATATTATAGTTTAATTGTATGACAGTATATTTATGCCACAGGATATATAATGATAACTAGATTGTGTGGAGAGAGGCAGGACATGGTAGAAGAGAGCTGGCCTTAGAGGAGGGTTGAAATTCAGCCTCTGTCACATACTGCCGTGTGACCAACCTTTCAGTGGTCCCAGAAAACTCTCTAAAACTCTGTGTTGCAGAGTAACCAGTGCTGATCTACATTGGTAGAAGGGATTTCCTTACTGGGAGTTCTCTACATGGGCTCAGCCCCTACTCCCCAAAAGAAAAAAAGTATACATATATATGCATATGCTTTATATATATATACATACATATACATGGAGAAAGAGATGTGGTGAGGGGACAAGGCAGGACAGGCATTCCTTCCTGCAGCATCCTCTCCATCATATCATAGGTCCCAGAAAGAAAAAAATGACAGGGTGTACTACCATATGTACGAGGTGTCTAGAAAATCTTAATTCAATGTTAAGATATTAAAGCTTAAAACAGCACTCAGACATTTGGGACACTCTGTATCACTGTATTTAATACTTTATGGTGTATATATATTAATATTTTATGGTATATACAGTATATGTAATTACACTATAGCATATGTAATATTTAAATTAAATCTCATAAAAATTTTCCTACTAAAAGAATTAACACTGTGAGCAAATCAATGGGGAATATGAAAAAAATAAATCTATGATTGGATGGTATAATTTTATATATAAAATATATATTATATTAAATATATTTTAAATGTATTATTTTATATTTTATATTTATTTTATAATTTTTATTATATTATGTTATTTATATTGTATTTATATTTAAAATACATTAAATATATATATATATATTTATATAAAAAGGGTAGTGTTGTGTATTGGACAGAGGGCCAGCCTAGAGCTGGATAAGCCTGGGTTCAAGTTCTGCCTAAGACATAGACTGGCTATGAGATTACAGACAAGTCTCTTAACTTCTCAGTACCCCCAACCAAGCACTTACGATGTGCCAGCACTATGCTCAGTGTTGGAGATTTGTTTTTGCTCAGTCACATGACCCCACTTGGGGTTTTCTGGGCAAAGATACTGGAATGTTTTGCCATTTCCTCTTCATTTTACAGATGAGCAAACTGAGGTGAACAGGGTTAAATGACTTGCCCAGGGTCACATAGCTAGTAAGTGTCTGAGGTCAGATTTGAACTCAGGAAGACTCCAGGCTCGGTACTCTATCCACTGCAACCACCTAGCTGCCCCCTAGTGCTGGGATACAATTAATAGAAAGACAGCCTGCCCACAAGGAGCTTATAATCTAATGGGCTGAGATAATACACAAAAGGAGGCAGGAAGGATGGGAGAAGATACTAGGAGGTACCCAGCTCAGGAGCATCACATTCCCAGGAGTAGAAACTAGGCAGGACAGCAGATGCAAAGTGGAGGAACTGAAACAAGTTTCTGCTCAACATAAAGGAAAGTATTGGGAGAGTTTGGTATTCCATCCTCCAGCCTTCCAATTAGAGGGGAGGAAGGAAGATGGCATCAAAGATTAGAAATGATAAGCTTATCCTGGGAGGGGCATCATGTTCCTTGGAGTTGAAACAAGGCAGAACCGTAGCCCAAAGTTGAGGAGAGAGTATCTACACCAGGAATTTGCTATGAAACAAAAGCTCAAGACTCCCCTCCAATATATATAGAAGCTAATACTGAAACTTGGTTGCATTTGAAAAGAATAGCATTGCAGGAGACAGGTAGGTCATTGAGTAGCTGCCGTAATAGATCTATACAATCTCTAATCCTTTTCATGTTTCAGGTCTGGTTGGAGAGATCCTTATAGAGTCCCTGTTTGCAGAGTCTGTAGTCATTATTCAGCAAAGCTAGTTAGTCACAGAGTGATTAGTAATTAAGTGCTCCCTAAAGCCACCTTAGATGGATGGTCAGCAAAGCAGCCAGAGACATAGAAAGAAATGAATTTGTTGAAAACTCCCCAGTAGAGAGTGAGACCTTTTTTGTCCTTGCCCTGAGGTCAGACTGATGAGCCCAAAGGCTTTCTTTTTCCTGCTAGCCACACCTGAGATGGGAAAGTCTTGGTGGAAATTTGACCATAAAGAGACTTGTTTCAACCTTTTAAAAAAAGAATGAAAGGAGCCCTTAACTGTACAGGAGATAGCTTTTTAAAAATCTTCAGTGCATATGCCATGCTTTAGCTCAAAACTGTAAGAAATGAAGGTACTATACAGGGTGCACTGCAGGAAATGTTGCAGGCACAATGCTTTCTGGACATGACAACCCTGGAGGGAAAAGGCTTGGGTGACCCTGTCTCCATTTGGCTCTTTTCAGCCGTGAATTGTTCTCTGTTCTGTACCGGGGCAAGGTCAAACATTGCGTTGTTATATTCCTAGCTTTTGCTTTTAAATGAATGTGGATAGGAGATGAAGCTGAGTTGAAATATTTTTTTCCTTCTCTTGAATCATCATTTAATTCCTACTGTAGTTGTTTGAAGTGAAGTTACTCAAAGGTATGTTCAGAGCTGGGATTAAGGGTAGACAAGGGAGGTAGCTTCCTAGGGCACCATCCAGTTGTATGGTACATAACAAAGAATAGTTTTAAATATTGGGGTTTTTTTAAATGGCCATATTTTAAGGTCAGAAAATCCAGTCATCTTTGGTTTTGTGATAAAGTTTAATGAGTTAAAACTGAAGCTCAAAGCCTTCTGGGAGGGCCAGCCAGAAAGGGGTGGCATGGAGTAGGGTACTTAATTTTCAAACCTTGCCTAGCACTCAAATGCCCTGTCCCAGATCTGAGTGCACTGACTCATACCTTATTCTCTCAGGCATTTATCATATGTTTTCCTCTCTTAGCATTTGTGGATGACATCTGTGTTTGAATTTCCCTAATAAGAGCATTTTTTTTTCCAGAATGGACTATAGTTTGAAAACTTCCCATAAAAATGGGATCCATAGAAATAAATTCAAACTAGGTCTTCTAGGACCCTCTTCCTGTTTGCTTATCTGGTTGGGGGTATGTATGGGCAGGGAAGGAGAGTAGCTCTTTTCCTAATTATCTAATTAGCATCCCAAACTATAATTACCAATTGTAGTATCTGGCCACTTAATTTTGGGAATGTAGTTATTTCCTCCAATCAATGCAGTCTTATAAAGAAAAAAAAACTCTACATCTCTCTGTTCAAATATTTTCTCGATATGTAGTTTAACATTCCCTAAGACCTCACAGGTGAGAGATCTAGAAAATATTCAGCCTCTTCTCCTTTACAGTATGGCTAAAGTTCTGGAGACTAATGGTACTTTTTAAAGACCATCATGTTGGGTTAGGTTTAGAGTTGGAGGTGTATTCTATATTTTTTTCAATTTCTTTGATATTTTTTGAGTACCTAGTTTTTCTAGTCACCACTGTCAAATACAGCACACGATCTTACTAATAGAAAGTTGAGGCAGTATTAAATGCTATGGAGGTATAATTAGAAAATTAGAATTAGAGATTGGGAATCAAGAGGACCTTTATTTAAGGTCCTCTTCTACTATGGTCCTCTTCTAAAGCCATTCATCAACTATGTGACCCTGGGCCCATCACTTCCCCTTTTAGCCTCAACTTCTTCATCTGTAAAAATGGACATAATGATGGCACTTATTTCACAGGGCTTCTGTGAGGATCAAATGAGAAATGTGCTTTGCAAACCTTAAAGCTCTATATAAATGCTAGTTGTTATTTATTAGGGATGGGGAAGGGAATAAGCAACTTATGTGTTCAGCTCTGAGCTACATGCTTTACAAGTATTATCTCATCTGTGCTTTAGTATTGGGCAATCACTCAAGAAGCACCTACTGTGTGCTGGACACTGTGGATACAAATACAATGAATGGAGCAATTTCTAACCAAAAAGAACTTATGATCTCTCAGCCTCAGTTTCCACATCTGTAAAATGAGAGGGTTCAATTACATGATCTCTGAGGTCCCTTCCAGCTCTAAACCTGTGCACTTTGCCTTATAGAATATTCTTCCCCTTTTTCTCTGGCCTCCACAGTGATTTCAGTGAGGAATGCCCAATAATCAACATGGTGTATTAAGGAGAAAGAAGGTTGAATGATTTGGAGAATGTAGTGACAGCAGTGTCCGTCAGCAGTGTGCCCATGATATGGAGTATTAACATTAGGGGGAAGGGCCCTGAATGTGGACTGCTGAGCTTGGGGTCATGGGACCTATGTGACATTGGGCAAAACACTTCAACTCTGGGCCTCAGTGACTCCTTCTGGTGTAAAGCAAAGGGATTGAATGGGGTGATCTCCAAGGGCTCTTTCCACACTAAATGTATGATTGAATGAGCTTTGGGGGAAAGGCACCATTGGAATTGAACAGAGGAATTAGAAGACAGACCATTTCTTTGTTTGAGAAGGGGATTTTGTTGTTCTTTTTGACTTTTAAAGAACTGAACCCCTCCCCCTCCCCTTGCCCTATAAAGCTCTGTTCAAAGCCTATTATCTTTCCAGTTCCAAGCATCAATCTGAATGGCTAT